GTGTACTTCCTATGGGGAACGCAGTGCCCTATGGAGGTCTCTAAATCATATGCATCAAGCAAGATGATGTTTCAGTCTCACAAAATATTACATCTGTCCCTAGGGATATCATGCTCTATTAACCATCTCCTCAATTCTCTGTAGCTCAAGCCTGCTACTATGAATTGAATGTTTGTGTCCACCCAAAAGCTGTGTGTTGAAAGCCTTAAAACCCAATGTGATGGTATTTGGTAGAGTTTTTGAGAGGTAATTAGGTTTAGATGAAGTCATGAGAGAAAGCCCCCATGATGAGATTGGTGTTCCTGCAAGAAGAGGAGACCAGAGTGTCCTCCCTCTACCACGTGAGGATACAGCAAGAAAAAGGCTGTCTGCAAACCAAAAAGAGGGCCTTCACCAGAAACCACGACCCATACTGACACCCTGATTGCTGACTTCTAGCCTCCAGAAGTGAGAAATAAATTTCTGTTGTCTTAAGCCAGTCAGTGTATGGTATTTGTTTTAGTAACCCAAACTGAGCAAGACAGCTGCCACTCCAGCCTCTCTGGACGTTACAATAGTTGGAACTCCTTGGCTTCTGGCACCTAAGCTTTACCCCGTGGGCTCTATAGCTTTGAGGCCCCATTGTCCCCATTTCTACCATGAGCCAAGCTAAGCAATAGTCTCTCCTACCATTGATCATGGACTGCAAAGGAGAACCACCACTGACCTAGTTAGTGATGCCCCTCTCACTTGTGCATTCATGATGGCCTTGGTAAATAGTGTGTCCTCTGGGTCTTGGACCTTAATTCCCTGGTGGGTTTTCTGGCAGCATATAATGTGAACATTTTGGCATGCCCTGTCTCTAAGCCTTTTAATCCCTTCCTCCACCGTTAGCCACGGTAATTCAGGCATTTCAGTATCATTCAGCATGGGCCCTTGTCTTCTTCAAGTTTCTTACAGTCCCCCTAGCAATGACTTTACATCATGCTCTGGGGTCCTTGTCATGATGTTAAATCTCATATCCTAAGACAGTGGTCCCAGGTCAATAACCTCTTCCGCATCCAGTCTTAAATTTTAGCCATTTAAGAACTTTCCCTGGGTCCTGCCAGTACCTGCCGGCCAATTCTTGCAGCTCCTTTGTGGTATGATCTTCCTTCCCCTTTTTGGTCAAGTCTAGTATGTCCCTGGACTGGCTATACTGTGATTTAGTCTTCGTTATTGGCCTGAAAGCCAGGAGAGTGAGCAAGGGCAGAGCTTGAGGGAGCCTCTGCTGCCCCTCGCAGGGGAGGGGCCATGAGAATAGGAGATGGGAGTGCTAGTTTTTAATAGTGAGGGCAACCTGTGCTGGCTCTGAGAGTTCAGAGGAATCTGGGGATTCAAAATCTTTGGGGTTATCCACACAAATGTTCCCATCCCATGTGTCAGGGACCCACGCTTCCCAACCACAGCCCCAACTGTAGCATAGGAGTCCTGCCTTAGCTGAGTACTCAATTGTGTTTGTAGCTTGGTGATCAAAATGTTAAATCCCCAGTATGGTTTTCAGCAATCTCTGCTCTCTCAGTTCAGGGAATAAAGGCCTTTAGGAGTTACCAAAGAGGCCCTATGACGGTCACACCTAGTTTTCAATTGTTTGTTAAATGCCCTCAGCATTCCATTATCCCTCTGTTGTCAGGGCAGCAATGCAACTTAGTAACAGCCAACGGGTTTCAGTAGGCCTGTCTACCCACCACCAGGCACTTTTCAAAAGCCTGAATTACTGCACCATTGAAGGTGCTCACCTCCAAAAGAACATTTTCCCAAATCACCACGGGTGGAAGTTGTAGCAATTTGGCTGCCATTTTGTATATAAACTCTCTTTGCCTCATATACCACCTAGAATGGGGTTGTCATTGCCCCCCAATTGGTGCCTTACTGCATCGCTTCAGGTCTTGAGTAGGCAGGCACTAAGATAATATTAGGAGGGCAAGAGACTTATTGGAGGTTGATGTCTGAAATTTAAAGGGAATGAAGCAGGACTGGACAGGGAAGTCTTCAAGAAACAATGCAGATCTGAAAGTCTTAATCAGTGCAATGGGCAGGATTAAAACCGCTATTAGAACTCTTGCATCCTATTTTATAATACGTCTGTTTGAATATGGAAACAATGTTTTAAATTAGTTACTGCCAGGGGGGAAAATGAGTAACAGCATGTCCTATGGTAAGTGGACAAAATGTTATAGCAGTGAATGCATCGATTTTATAAAATTGGATTGAAACAAGCTCCTACCAAATATGTTTTCAATTTCTTGTCAATTTCTCTTCTCTCTTGAGGTAACAATATTTTGGAGACCCTAGAATCTCATAAATCTGTGGACAGAGCCTGATAAAATATTTATTCGTATGTTTGTTTTTACTACATCACAAGGTATGAAGGGAAATCATCAAGAGGAGACACTCAGAACGCAGCTACCAAGATAATAGGTTGCAAGCAGAAATCCAGGCTAATGTCAAGCATCCTATGAAAACATGTTCCTAGTGACATAAGAAAGACATTCCAGAGTCAGTACCTTTTACAATTTGGGGATTAATTGTCAAAAGATATTTTCAATGAAGAAAGTGAGCTTTTACCATTAAATCTATAATTTTTATCACGTGTAAATTTAAGTCTCAAATGGTTCATGATCCTCAAGATCAACTTTCTTCACATACCCTCAAAAATCATTTTTCATTGAAGCGATGCTATTGTTTTTGATAAAAATGTTCACAGCCTGTCATTTCTGCCATCCTGTTAAACATGCTAAGTAGAGAAGCAAATTTTTTCAGATGAAATGTTCTCAGTAAATAATGCAGGATTAGTTAATAAATTCAGGAAATAAGCACTCCTACAGCTTTATGTGTGATACCCATTTATTCATTTTTTTCAGTTGCCCCTCTATTCTTTTAAAATTTACATATCTTGTTGAAAATATTTGTTTGCCCTTGGCAAATAAAGATGATTTCACAAATATTCGCATGGCAAACAATAGTAAAGAAAAACCAATGAAAAGTAGATCAATAACTTGTCTTCACCATAATAGTGTTATGTTTGTTGGACTACATGTTTTAAGCATATCAAAGTCTGTCTTTTGATGGTATAGTTCAAAAAATTCCGTTGTTTCAGCTTGGATACCAATTTTTGAAGCAAAACATTTTGACCAAATCTTCACCAAATTTTCTCCTATTCGGCAGCGTCATTGCCAACAAGAATTCTAAAACTGATTTTATATTTTGTTTTCGTTTTAACTTTTGTAGTGATTTTTTTCTTCAGAATTCATGCAGTTTGTTTTTAAAAGCCACTGAAAGTTGGGTGGCTTTATGTACTCAAAAAAAAAAAAATTTATCCCTGTAAGTCATACTAAGGTTCAAGCTATTTTGTATCTCCAGATGCATCCATGACAGAGACATATACTGCTCACCAAATATGCATGTTCTCATCCACATTTCCTGATACATTTGCAGGTAGGTAAGCCTGTGTGACTAGTTTTGGGCTGGGATCAAGTGAGAAATAGCCACTGTTAAGTCTGTTAAGTCCATAAGATTTTGAGGTTAATTTGCTACCCCATATAACCTAGCTTTTGAGTATATTCTACATTTTTTATTAACTGCTGCTTCTTACTGCAGCTGACTCACTACTATGATTGGAGTAATGCTAACTCTTTTTTTTTTTTTCTGCCAATGAGGGAGTCTTTAAGGAAAATGCCACTTGCTCACAAGCTTTGATCATTTCCATTACTTTCTTTAAAATGAGTATAAACAGTTTACATATCTATAGGTTTTAAGCTTCATCAAGATTTTCATTTGCCACCACCAATAGTTTCAATTGAAAATTGAATTGAAATTGAATACAGTTTTAAATATTACCTTTTTAAGAAGACAAAGAGAGGCATTACAGTCATTTTAAAGCAGAATGTCAGGTATATTTGTATTACAAAGTAAGTCACTCCCATGGGAAGTAACATTAAGTGAAGTTTTATATTTGTAAACAAAGACTTGATTATGGGAAATTGTGTAAGGAAGTTGAGCTGATTTGTGAGAAAATTATTTTCTATGATTAAAATCATAAATAAATAAGTACACAAATACACGTAGGGGTTTAAAAAGAGGCCACCTTGTTCTTCAAAATACTTAATGTGTGGGGGCCCCTGGATATCTCAGTCTATTATCGTCCAACTCTTGATTTTGGCTCACGCCATGGTCTCAGGGTGGTGAGATGGATTGGGCTCCATGCTTAACACGGAGTATACTTGTCCCTCTCCCTCTGCTCCTCCCCCCCACTCTTGTACTATTTCTCTCTCAAATAAATAAATAAAATCTTAAAAAAAAAAACAAACCCTTAATGTGTGAACCTTCACAGGCTGAGAAATCACATGGTCCAGTTCTAAGCACTACTTCGGAGGAAGAGCCAGAGGGTGGATAACAGGGAGGAGGTGGGCTCACAGTCATAATGCGCTCAACTGGGAGGAGGGAAGGAACAAATAAACCAGATTTCTTCAATGACACAAAAGTCTAAATTTCCCAGGAATTACTGGTATGTAAAAATAGTAAAACACACAAAAATTGAATGCATGTAAAAAAAATTGATAAAACACACACACGTAAAAACATAAAACAAGATAAACTGCTGATCTTTCTTGTAGATTTATGTGACAAAATGTTTTAATAAAAAATATTCACAATTTTTCTCTGTAATATTTATCTAAGTTTAATACTTCAGGAAGACGGGACATGTTAATTCTTTGGTTTCAAGTATCCCCAACACACTGATATATATGATTTTCAGGATAAAATTACCCCAATTTAAGAAGCATTCACTCCAGTTTACCTAAAGATTATCCTTGTATTATGTGTTTGAAAACTTTGAGTCTTCATTGATTGTATAGATTTCTCATATCAATGCTTTCACTTAGTGATACTTTGTTTACACTAAGGGCTGTCTTAGTTCAGGCTGCTATAACAGAATACCATAGATTGGGTAACTTAAACAATAGAAATTTATTTCTTACAGTTCTAGAGGCTGAGGAATCCAAGATCCAGATTCCAGCAGACTCAGTTTGTGGGGAGAGCCCCTTTCCCAGTTGGCAGAGAGCCATCTTCTTGCTGCGCCCTCACTTGGCTGATAGAGAGTGCTCTCTGGTCTCTTCTCATGAGGGTACAATTCCCATTATGAGGAACCCATTCCCTATGATCTCCTCTAAACCTAGTTACCTCCTCAAAGCCCCACCTCCTAGTATCATCACATTGGGGGTTAGAATTTTAACATGAATTTTGGGAGGACACAATCTTTCAGTTCCCCTAAAAAACATTCATATGCAACTCATAGTAGAGCTCTTTTAGATTGTTGAGACCATCTTTTATAATTTCACATAACGTCCCTTTATGTAGTTCCATGAAATAAATTTCTTTTATATCTCAGGGGACAACTTTTTCCCACAAAACTGCTTTGTTTCTTAAATTAATAACACTGAATCCTTTAATGTGATAACTGTGGAGCCATCCACCAAGATAAACCCAATGATCCCCATCTCCTGATACATTCTCATGTAATTGCATCCCACAATGTAATAGAGTTGGTCTATGTCACCAAACAGAATATCATAGAAGTAATAGTATGTCATTTCCAATATTAAATCATTAAAAGCAATATGTCTCCTGACTTCTTTCTTGAATCACTCACTGGAAAATCCAGTTCCATGTTGTAAAGGCACCTAGGCAACCCTGTGGAGAGAGATGTGGTGAGGAATTAATGCCTTCTGCTAGCAGCCATTGAGCAACTAAGGCCATCAATCTCTGCCAACAGCCATGTGATGAGCTATCTTGGAAGTAGATCCTGCAGCCCCAGTCAAGCCTTCAAACAATTGCAACCCCATCTCTCATCTTAATGTCAGCCTCATGAAAAACCTGAGCCAGAACCCTCCATCTATACCACTCCTGGATTTCAGAGGTAACAAAAAAATTTTTTTAAGCAGATAAATTTTGAGGTAATCTGTTATACAATAATAGTTTATCAATCTGTTTCTCTTTTTCTTTTGTCTGTTAGGAATCCTAAATTCAAATATGAGGCTCACCTCTGAAATTTCTATAGGACTCTCAACATATATGTTTGTGTTTTGATATTATTTCCTTATTTTCATTTTTCACTTATTTCAATTTCCTCTTCTATTTATTTAATTGTATTACAATATATGATATAAGCCACTTCAAATAGTATTTTAGGAATTAAGCAAAGTATTATTTATGACGAAATGAAGAACTATAACCAGGAGAAGTTAACAGAACAAGGCAAAATAAATAAATAAATAAACATTGCCACTAGACCCAAGCTTGAAGCTTTTTTCAACATGGAAGCAACAAAGTTATTATCTGAGTCTTTCTTAAAGGATTTGAATATAAGTTCTAGGAAAAAATAAAAATATCACAGGGAAGTCCCGAGACAAAGGGAGCGCCGCCGCCGCCGCCGCCTCGTCCGCCTCGCTCGCCGGGCCGCGGCCGCCCGAGGGACTTTGAACATGTCGGGGATTGCCCTCAGCAGACTCGCCCAGGAGAGGAAAGCCTGGAGAAAGGACCACCCGTTTGGCTTTGTGGCTGTCCCGACAAAGAATCCTGACGGCACGATGAACCTCATGAACTGGGAGTGTGCCATTCCAGGGAAGAAAGGGACTCCCTGGGAAGGAGGCTTGTTTAAGCTACGGATGCTTTTCAAAGATGATTATCCATCCTCACCCCCAAAATGTAAATTTGAGCCACCACTGTTTCACCCGAACGTGTACCCTTCGGGAACAGTGTGCCTGTCTATCCTTGAGGAGGACAAGGACTGGAGGCCAGCCATCACGATTAAGCAGATCTTGTTAGGAATACAGGAACTTCTAAATGAACCAAATATCCAGGACCCAGCTCAAGCAGAGGCCTACACGATTTACTGCCAAAACAGAGTGGAGTACGAGAAGAGGGTTCGAGCACAAGCCAAGAAGTTCGCACCTTCATAAGCGGTGACCGCGTGGCAGCGTAAGAAGGAAGGGATTGGTTTGGCAAGAACTTGTTTACAACATTTTTGCAAATCTAACGTTGCTCTGTACTATTACTAGTCACCTGGGAGGGTGGGCGGGCGCCATTTTCCATTTCCGCCACTGGCACGCAGTCCGCGACTCGCTGAGCTGCCCGGTTTTTCATACAGGGTCTCTTCCTTCAGTCTTTTGTATTTTTGATTGTTATGTAAAACTTGCTTTTATTTTAATATTGATGTCAGTATTTCAACTGCTGTAAAATTATAAACTTTTATACTTCGATGAGCCCCGAGGAGCTAGTTTCCTTTGCTCGCGGATGCAGGCATGCTTCCCACCGTGTAGCGCTACACGTAGCCTCCCGCCGGCCCCCCTCCCGCCTCGCTCCCCGCAGAACCCGGGTTGTGTTGCTTATGAGCCTCAGATCCAAAGGCAGCCGGCGTCTCGTTTCCGCATCACTTCCTTTGTGTTTATATGGCGTTTTGTCTGTGTTGCTGTTTAGAGTAAATAAACTGTTTATATAAAAAAAAAATATTCACAAATTATAAGTTATTTGAAACAAAGATTATATTTTTATCCTCTGCATAATGATTCCAAATAACCAGTCTATAAGAGATATTTTCACCAGTCCACTAGAAAACAAGAAAAATGAGGGCAATACAGTCAGTTTCCATTAAATTAAATTGATTCAATTTAAATTTGTTTATGTTGATAAGCAGACATTTTCCAAAGAAGACATCCAGATGGCCAACAGATACATGAAAACACGCTCAACATCACTCATCATCAGGGAAATACAACTCAAAACTACAGTGCGATATCACCTACACCTGTCAGAAAGGCAAAAATTAACAACACAGGAAACAACAGGTATTGGAGAGGATGCAGAGAAAGGGGAACCCTCTTACAGTGTTGGTGGGAATGCAGACTGGGGCAGCCACTCTGGAAAATAGTATGGAGTTTCCTCAAAAAGTTAAAAATAGAACTACCCTACAATCCAGCAATTGCACTACTAGGTATTTACCCAAAGGATACAAAAATACTGACTCGAAGGGGCACATGCACCCCAATGTTTATAACAGCATTATCAACAATAGCTAAAGTATGGAAAAAGCCCAAATGTCCATTGACTCAGATGAATGGATAAAGAAGAGGTGGTGTTTATATATATATATATTCCATTATATATATATTCCATTATATATACATATATAATGGAATATTATTTGGCCATAAAAAGAATGAAATCTTGCCATTTACAGTGATGTGGATTGAGCTAGAGAGTATTATGCTAAGCAAAATAAGTCAGCCAGAGAAAGACAAATACTATATTATTTCACTCATACGTGGAATATAAGAAACAAAACAGATGAACATGGGGAAAAAGAGAGAGCAAACCAGAAAACAGACTCTTACCTATAGACAATAAACTGATGGTTACTGGAGGTTAAGTGAGTAGGGGAATGGGTTAAATGGGTGATGGGGATTAAGGAGGGCACTCATGATGATCACTGGGTATTGTATGTAAGTGATAAATCACTAAGTTCTACACCTGAAATTAATATTACACTGTTGGTTAACTAGGTGGAATTTAAATAAAAACTTGACAAAAATAAACTTGTTTATGTTGAGATTATGTTCTTTTTTTTAAGATTTTATTTATTTATTTTAGAGAGAGAGACAGAGATAGTGACGGAGATATCAAAAGAGAGCATGAACAGGGAGAAGAGGGAGAAGCAGGCTCCCCGCTGAGCAGGGAGCCCGATGTGGGACTCAATCCCAGGACCCTGGGATCATGACCTGAGTGGAAGGCAGAAGCTTAACCCAACTGAGCCACCTTGGTGCCCCAAGATTATGTTCTTTCTAATCTTGATGCATCTTCTTTTAAAATATGATGATAGTGTATTGCGGTATGGGTTTTTTTTTAATATTCTTAATCATACCATTTTCTCATTTCTCCTAGCATTTATGTGATTTTGTTGGGTTTTGTCTTATTAAATATTCCCACTGTGTGAAACTGCTCTGCAGGAACCTGGGTTCCTAGAGAAGTATTGAGGGATGGTGAGGGAGTTGGAAAAGCAGTGCACAAATCTCAAGCCAGGGGAAGGAATGTCTGAGGGGGAAGAACATGCATACTTTCAATACAACCTTTGTTTTCATAACACTAACTACAGAAGCAAAATCTTAACCAACTTGCAACTCAGGGCTTCCCCTCCCCAACCTGGTTGAGTTTCATTGTTTCAAAGCAGTAGACAGGTTCCTAGCTTTGGACCTTAGAAACAATACAAGACATTATCCAATCCTTCTGCTCACTTAACATGATCTACAGTCTGAAGAGTATCTCCAGGTAACATATACACTATGTTTCAAATGTGTAGAACTGGAAGGCATAATTAATCAAATCCCATTAAAGTGGTCTAAATTCATGGCAGGTTTTTATATATTGTGTCATCTTCTAATTACTAGATACAAAAATATCATTACTATGAGAGGAACATCTCATAATTGTTTTAGAGGCTTTTTAAAATATTTTATTTATTTATTTGAGAGAGAGAGAGCACAGAGGGAGGGGGAGAAGCAGACTCCCCACTGAGGAGAAAGCTCGACTCAGGGCTCTGTCCCAGGACCCTGGGATCATGACCTGAGCCGAAGGCAGCCGCTTAACCAACTGAGCCACCCAGGCGCCCCTGTTTTAATATTTTTTAAAAGGGGCCCTTGAAATAATGGGGAACGACTTGTGCTAAATAAATGTTTTTGGATAGATTATAGAAGCCAGAAAGAAGAAAATAGAAAAGAAAGAGTGAAGGGCTTGAATCTTCTTCTCCATAATATGAGCTCCTAGGAAAGGTTCTTAATGTTGATAGACTCTCAGTCTGATACGTAATTCTTTATTTTCTTTATAAGGTCAAGTGGTTCCATGCTGCTATCTCCAAATGAAGTAAAATTGCCTCACTTTTAAAGTTGAAATTCTTTCTGTTCTCAGATAATCTGAAGAATGTGTTCATTAAGTCTAATACCCTATTTATGAGCCGATAATAAGACCAATTTTCATAAACCACTCCAGAAAATCAGTAATTACTTCATAAAAAAGAG